ATATATATATATATACAGTGTATATACAGTATGTAGTGCTAGCTCTGTAGGTAATAAAGATGGTGATCGATCTAGAGCTAAAAAGTATAACGTAAGCTCCTAAGCTTATAAATATAGCGTTAGCTCCAGAGCTAGTAAATATAGCACTAGATCCAGAACTAACAAATACAACTGTAACTCCAGAGCTAACACTGTATATATGGCTGTAAGACGTGGCATTAGATCTAGAACTATTAAATATATGGTATCCGCGCACAAAACCAGTATCAGTGCATCTTTAATTTAATTTCACTTATTACATTACATGATTTATGATAAAAATTCACATCACTTTTTTCTTTAAATGTTTATCCAAACTTTAAAGAACATTATGCTTTTAGACTTTAAGACTATGTAGGAACATTGCAATAATCAGTTAGAATTAACCTGACAAACTCTGATAGGTGGATCTGTAAGACATAAATGTCTCATCATGTTTGTCTACTCAGACCCTCTGACGACACGTCTAAAAAAGGCTAATAGCCGTGTTGTTTGAGGCCAAAGCTTACCTTCAGGTATGAGCCGTAATACTTGGTGACAAAGGGGCTATCGCACTGACTTAACACGGTGATCTCCTGCTGGATGTCTTCGATCTCGTCTTCTGCCTCCTCCAGGTCTATGATCTTGATGGCCACCACTTTCTGTGTGCGATTGTCAATGCCTTTGAACACCTCGCCGAATGAGCCTTTGCCAATGCGCTCCAGCTTGGTGAACAGCTCCTCGGGGTCGACTCTGGAGTTCTGGAGGTTGATAGAGAAGTGTGTGGGGGAGGGGGAGGTAAATGAAGAAGGATCAAATTAGTTATTCAAATCAGGTGAGTAGAAACCTCTAAACACTGTTCCTCATGACCCACTGTTCTGCATGTTTTAGCCGTTTGTCTGCTTCAACACAACTGATTGAAATAATTAAAGGACCATTCAGAAAGTCATCAGGGTCAGCAGAAGACTGTCAATCATTCATTCACTTCAGTCAGGTGTGCTGAAGTAGGGAAACAGCTAWAACGTGTAGAACAGTGGGTCACGAGGAACAGTGTTGAAGACCTCTGCTCTAAAACATGCAGGATAGTTGCCTTCGAGGACTAGGACTGCGACACTTTCCAGCTCGTCCTGGGGGACTCCGAGACGTTCCCAGGCCAGAGGGGATACATAATCCCTCCAGCGAGTCCTGGATGTTCTCCAAAGTGCCAGACTTATTTTGAAAACATTTTAAAATGCTTATTTCAAATCCGCATCTGAGACCACCTGCGACCGCGCGGGGGGTGGGGGTCGGGGGTATGGTGCGCAACGGTGTGTCTTCTGAATAAATGAAAATGATTTAACACAGTTGTTTATACTTTTAGCAGCTCTTTTTATTCCACAGCTGACCTGCTTTCTGGATCTCTGACAGACGGACTTCAATCTCTGAACTCATAAAGTTCTTTTTAGTTTTCGCTGTCATTTTC